CAAGAAAGCCTTTTTAGTATTATTTTAGAGACTCTAGGGACGGATTTGAAGGAATCTAAGTCTTGAGAAACCCTAGGAATGAATCTTTTCAAGCCCAAATAAACCTTGAACTGTAGGTCTGACACAAGCAAATTAATTAGAAGGTTGACATTCCCTGTAGCTATGAATTAACTCCATTCTCAGCAACTGGTCATAGAATCATGTGAAACCTTAGACAAGGGAGGGGAACCTGTGGTCTCTAGGCCACATGTGGCCCTCTAGGTCCTCTAGTGTGGCCCTTTGACTGAATCTAAACTTCACTGAACACATCCCCTTAATAAAAGGATTTGTTCTGTAAAACTTGGACTCAGTCAAACGGCCACACCCAAGGACCTAAAAGGCCACATGTGGCCTCGAGGCCAGAGGTTTCCCCTCCCCTGCCTTAGAACATCAACCTTGGGGGATCAAGTTGACTTCTATTTAACACCTCTAGTGACAGAGGACACACTACCCTTGGAGGCAGACCATTCCATTTTGTTTGGCAGCTTTAAGTTATAAAAAGCTTTTCCTTATATTGAGACAAATCTGACTCTTATACTTCCTACCAATTAGTCTTACTTTTGCCCTCTCAGGGCCACACAGAACAAATCTAATGTGTAGAATTTTAGAGCTGGCTCATCTAGTCAGAACCTCCTATTTTACAGATGAAGAAACTGAGACCCAAAGAGGGGAAGTGACTGCCCAAGGTTACAAAACTGGTACGTAGCAGCACAAGTGACTCATCCCAGGCTTTCTAATTCCAAGTCCAATGCATTTTTCAATTATAATAATAATAGTAACAATAACAACAACAATAATAATAAAAGGCATTTATATATATAACACTTTAAGGCTTGAAAAGTGCTTAAATTCCCTATTGCCTCCAGGATCAAACAGAAATTTTACTGTTTGGTTTTTAAAGCCTTCTATAATGTAGGGCATTCCTACCTTTCCAGTCTTCTAATACTTTACTACCTTCCGAGCACTCCAAGAAAATGTATGTAAAGTACATTGTAAACCTTAAAATTCTATGGAAATACCAACCCCTGTTAATTATAAGGCATGTCTCTATTCTTTGGAAAAGAGACATTATAAGCATCCCTCTTTTTGGGGGGTATTTCAATCCATTCTCTGGGATAGGTAATAATGGCCTTGCTGTTCCTGAAATCTAACACTTCTAACTCCTGAAGGCTCTCCTCCACTCTCTCCTGTCCTGTACATATCTTATTTGTACATAGTTGTTTTCGTGTTGTGTCCCCAACTAGACCGTGAGCTCCTTGGGAGCAGGGACTGTTTTTTTGGTTGTTTTTTGTTTTTTGTTGTTTTTTTTTTTTTTTTTTTTGCTTTTCTGTGTATCCCCAGCACATAGCACAGTGCCTGGAACATAGTAAGTGCTTAATAAAAGATAGTTGACTGAATGACATATGTTATTTCATATGGTCCTCACAACAACCCTGTGAGGTAGTTACGATTATTGTTCCTATTTTTCATGCTGAGAAACTAAGGCTGAGAAGTTAAGTGGTTTGTCTAGAGTCACACAATTATTATTATTATTGTTGTTGAAAACTGCATTGCATTTTTTGGAACTAGAAGACCTGGGATAAGGTCACGTGTGTTACTTGCTAGTTGTGTGATCTTGAGCTGTCACTTTACTTTTTGGGGCCTCAGTCTCCTTATCTGTAAATTAAGAGGCTCTGAGTCACACAGTGTGTGAGGCAAGATTTGAATTCAAGTCTCCAGCAGTCTAGCCATCACACTACCCAGCTGCCTCCTTCCACCATATCCTGTTGACTATTGTGCTTTCCTCTACCTGAGGATTCCAAAATTATTTGAAGAAACCTCTAACTTCTATTCCTTCCCTCCATATCAATTTTTCCTTCTACAGGCTAAACAAACATTCTCTGATTTCTGAATGGAGTGGAATGGCTGGAAACACCATCCCAAAGGAGACTCATGCTCATAATGCTTCTTTTCTATAGAATAGAGACATATTATAATAGCAGCAGTTGATATTTACATAGTACTTTAAGGTTTACAAAGCACTTTACATGCATTATCCTCATTTGATCTTCACTACAATCCATTGAAGTAGCAGCTACAAGAATTAGTTATATAGCGTAGTTAGGAGTGGGGAACCTGTGGCCTCAAGGCCACATGTGGTCTCCAGGTGGCAGGTTCCCCACACCTGGGTTGTAGAAAGCTCACTGGTTTTAGCGTCAGAACCTGAATTCATAGCCTACCTACTTCACAAGGACCTTGTGAGGAAAATGCTTTGCACAACTGTAAAGTGCTACTCAAATGTGACCCGTTACTATTGTCCAGAGGCAATGGGACAGAAAGGGTCAATCTTAGGAAGACATGGGTGCAGTCCTACCTCTGACACACAAACCTGCTGTGGCCATGGCATTTAACCATTCAATGTTCCCAAGCAACTCAAAAACTTTTAAGTTTTTCCCAGGAGTTCTCTGGACTGATAAAATCACAGGTTTACCAAAAATGTTTTTGCTGCTGGGTCCCAAAATTACTAAAGCCTTGTTGTGGAGAAGGAATTTTATAGCAAAAGATCAACATCTACCCAGACAAATGCAAATGAAAGTATTTTCCAAACTACTCCAAAAAGCCTTACACGGCTACCTGCTGTTGACAAAACTTTCTCAAGAACTCCTTTCTTTCACTACTACCCCAATCTTTCCCCCTTATAGATCCCCATTCTTCTCTGACATTGCCACCACCCTAGCACAGTTCCTCATCACCTCACACCTGGTCTATTACAATAGCCTGCTGGTTGGTCTTCCCACCACAAGTATCTCCCCACTCCAGTCCATCCTCAGCTTAGCTGTCAGAGGGATCATCCTAAAATGCCTTGGTACTACTCCATGAACTCCAACAGTTCCCTATCACCTCCAGGGATCAAATATAAAATCCTCTAGACTCTAGTTCAAAGCCATATATAACCTGCCCAACTCTCACCTCCTTTCCAGGCTTCTTATACCTTACACCACCCTTACTCTTACTCTTACACCCTAACTCTTTTTGCTGTGCCTCAAACAGGACGCTCCGTCTCCCGACTGGGCACTTTCACTGTCTGTCCCCCATGCATGAAATTCTCTTCCTCCTCATCTTTGTCTCTTGGCTTCCTTCAAGTGTCACCTAAAACCCTGCCTTGTACAGGAAGCCTTTCTTGATCCCCTTTAATTCTAGTGCCTTCCCTCCATTGATTATTTCCAATTTATTATTTTCCACTTTATTTGTAGCTTGTTTGTACAGTTACTGAATATTGTCTTCCCCATTAGATCGTGAGTTTCTCGAAAGCAGGGACTTTTACCTTTCTTTGTATCCCCAGCGCTTAGCACAGTGTGTGGCACATAGTAGTCACTTAATGTTTGTTGACTGACTATCCCTGGACCTATCACCTCTAATGTCCCTTGCCGTTCTAAATGTAAGATCTTATGATCCAATTAAGCCATAGAGATAGGGCTGGCCAGGAGGCAGGTGGATGATATTCTTGAACCACCTGCAGCTGGGGAATTTGATCTCTTTGGTTCAGCTAGAATTCACCGGGAACAGTCCAGTAAAACAGCATTTCCTATCTTCCCGGTAACTGTTTCGAAGTAGGAAGAAACACAGATGCCGTCAGCTCTGTGGCATTTGAACAGAAGTGTCTGCTCTCCCACTTCTTTCCCGTTTACCTGCTCAGTTTGTAGAGGTCAGGTCTACAGGCAGAGAAGACTTGGTGGCTGAGCACAATGGGCATGCTACATCTGAAGAAACTGCATCCTTCCAGGGGACCCAGGAGACCGAGTGAGGGTAACACTGGGGGAAGGGCGTTGCCTGTCCTCCGGCTGGGGCGGAAAGTGAGCGAACTTAGCAGACAAAGCCCCCAAAGCCTGCTGCCCTCCTCTCGAGGATCCCGCAGGCCCCCCTCTTCCCTCGGGTACCCCAACGCCGAGAGAGACAAGAACCCCAGCTCCCCGCACCTGTTTGCGAGGCAGGAAAGGAGAAAGAGAAAGAAAGCCTCAAATGAAAAGAGGGAGGGTAAAGGCTAGGAGGGGAGAGAGGAAGGCGACGGCTAATTAGGAGTCCTCTAAAAGGAGAAGCAGCGCCCCCCTCCCCATTCCCAGCTCCCGTTGGACGCGTTCTTGTTGGCATGGAAAAGCTGAACCACATCTTCCTGAGAAAGGAACTCTGTAAACTGGAGGGAGAAGGAGGGAAAATGGGGAATGTCGCGGAACAGCAACTAGCAAAGAGCCAAACTCAGAAACGGAACCACGGATAGCAAACCCCACTGCCCTGGCTCCAGAGCCCTTTTTATCCGTTCTTGCTTCCTACCAATGGTTTGGCTCACGGCTAAAGAGCCGCCTCTCTCTAGGAGCCCAGAGCGAAGCCCGAGTCTCGGGCGACAGTGGGGCTGGGGGCTGGCATCCCGAGCCCCCGACAGACCGAGCCCAGCTCTTAAAGTTGTATTGCGGGATGGGGAGTGGAGCATGTATACAAAAGTCTAAAAGTGGATCGATAAGCGGAGAGCCATTTCGGGGAAAGACCCCGAGGGAGCTTTACTTGGTTTACCCACTCCCGTGGCGTAGGTGCAGATCGAGGCTCAGAGGTTGGCAGCACTGAGTGACTGGCACAGGTAGTGAACGGGCGCGGGTGAGTTGTCTCGGAGGATGGTACCTTGGAGTAGACACGTGGGTGGCCAGCTAGGAACCGACTGGTGTCCCAGAGAGGCTTGGAGGGACAGTCAGGTAGGGATGCTACAGAGGCTTGGGATGAATAGGGGCAAGTGTCTAAATGGGGGGGGGGGGGGGGGCTAGCACGTGTACAGCTGGAGAAGTGCATGGACTGAGTCCGGATCCCAGCCTTGGTCCGACAGTAAACGAGGAGTTAAGGGGGAGAGGACTCACCAGGCAGGTTAAATACAACGGCCCCTGGTGTCGAAGACCCCGCAGATAAAAAGAGAGCGGGTGCAGCTCTGGGACACTTACCTACAGCCCAGTGGTTCCCCCTCGGGTATATCTTGGCCATCAGGTTCTCCAAGCCAACTGACGCCAAGGGAGCCGCGGTCCCCCAGGGCGCTTCGCAGAGGACCAGGGCCAAGAGGACCAGGGAGATCTCGCAGCCCCTCATGGTAGCGCCGCTGCCTGGTCCCGGGGATAGAGAGCTGTAATCTCCTGTTCGCTGCGGTGAGTCCGGGTGGCAAGTTCGAATCCTGTGCTCGGTTACCTCCAGAGGCTGGGGGTAGGGGAAGAGGAGGGTGACTAGAGGACGAGAAGCTGCTACCACCGCCTCTGCCGCTAGTTGCTGCCTCTGCTAGTAACTCGAATTTATATGGAAATCCTGCGGGGGGGATGAGAAGGGGGGTGCTGTTAAACTACCAACTTCGGTAGACTGACGTCTCCCGACAGAGTAGGCGGGGGCTACCGCTATCATCTCGGAAAACTATCCATCTTCCCAGTCTTTCGATGATGAGACTGTGTATGCGTTTCATTACCCACGCCGCACCCCGCACCCCCACATCCTCTTCTCATTATCTCTCCCCATCTCACTCTCCTCCAGTTTGGGTTTGATTGGGAACTCAGACACTCCACCTTCATTTCTGTTCGCCCCACCCCTCTTCTTGGCCCTTCACAAAACAAATTCCTCACTCTCCACCAACCCCCTTGGCAGCTCCCAAGAGAACCCTCTCAGTCTCTCCATTTCCACCCCCACCCTCAGGATTCCCCAGCACGATTCCTCCTGGGAGGCAAAATCTAGAGGCTTTGTTAGTGGGGTTTGGTAACTGGGCCTGTCTAGCTCTGAGCAACTGTTCCTAACTCTCCAAAACCTTCCCCTACACTGTCCCACCTTTCTTCCCAATTTCCACTGGACTGGCCCCCAGTGCCTTAAGGCAAAGAGACACATGACCCAGCAGGAAATCCAGCCAGCACTTGCCATGGTCACAATTCACAGATAAGTAAGGACTGCATTCATTTCAGTTGTTGCATCCTTCGTTCCTAACTCAGTAGGACATGGGCATATAGTAGGTGCCTAATAAGTGCTTGTTGAGTTGAATTGAATGCGGTCCATTTGCTTGGCAAATCCCAACCAGATTTTTAGAATCATCCTGCTGCTATATTCTCAGCTCCTAGATATTGAACACACACATACACACAGGAACCTTTCTGATTCTCAGGTGTGGCCCTGTATGTCTGTATGGATAAATAATGCAATACTGAATAGGAAGGGAGCACTGTGCTCTGATAATACAACTGCTAATAAGAGTTTCATTGTACATGCTGTCCTCTTCATACACGTATAGCTTCTAGACAATACATGAATAGGCTGTTTTTATGAAAAAGCATTTGGTTAGAGGGTATGAGTTTACATCTCTCTATTATCCTAAACTTTATCTAAGAGAGCTGTGATCAAACAGAAACCACAAGGACAAAAAAGCTGAGAGCATGAGGTCAGGATCCCAGCTCTGTTATCTAGGTTGCCACTTAGCCTCATTCTCATACTTTTTAAAATCTGTGAACCATGGGCAATCAGGCTGGTCACCTGCCTAAGTCCTGAGATTCTAAGTGCCGTAGGTACTATGGTGATAGGCACCATAGAAATGCATCAGTAAACAGAAGTGGGTAGGCTGCTATTGCCTACGTGTTGGCTGAAAGAATGGGTAATTGTGGTTGAGTATTTAGAGGGTGGATCTGTTTTCTCTGAAAGTTGCCTATGTTGGGTCTCTTTTTGAGAATGGGCATTCCATTCTTGGTATGCCCTGGACAGGTAAACCTTCTGAATGTCTGAGTATTCTTGGGCTGAGAAGGGAGAAAAGGGAACAAGCATTTGTTAAGTGCCTACTATGTGCCAGGCATTTTATAATTTCATTTGATCCTCACCACAACCCCAGGAGCTATTGTCCTCATTTTGCAGTTGAAGAAACTGCATATAGGGGTTAAGTGACTTGTCCAGCTAGTATCTGAGGCAGAATTTGAACTCAGGTCTTCCTGATTATAGGCCCATCATCCTATCCCCTGCACCACCTCTTTGACAGCATATTTCAGCATATGGGAATTAGTACAAAAGGGAAAAACAATCACTCAGCCTCATCATCAACATTTGGAGACAGTGGAAAGAGCCCTAGTTTTGTAAGGAGAGGACCTAATTTCAAATGCCTGCTCTTTTTTTCTACCATTTACTAGATATGACCTTGGGGAAGTCATTTCATCTCTCTGAACCTCAGTTTTCTCATCTGTAAAATGAAGAACTTGAACTGTGCAGTATTTAGGTTTCCTTCCAGTTCTATATCTATGATTCTCTGGTCATCTTCATCCTCCCTAGAAACTGTTCTAGAAAAGAAACAGCTGATGCCATAAGGTCACAGGTGTCATGCTGGGAAAATCCTCAGGTTTCCCCTAATCTGACTACCTCATTTTACAGATAAGGAAATTGAGGCTCAAGAGAAATGAAGTGACTTGCCCAAGGTCATACATCTTTTAAATGGCAGAACTGGTATTTGAACCTGGGTCCTTCAAATCTTTTTTACATACATCACACTCCTTTTCAAACCACAGGGGGGCTCTGACTTTCTTTTCCTGTTTTCTAACTTCTGTTGTTATTGTTGTTTTAAATTTGTCAAGGCCCTCCTCAGGTTCTAGGGCAAATCTAGCCAACACCTTCCTACCCATTATCCCTTGGCCCAGACCTGAAGAACATGTGTTCCCTTACCTAAGCCTAGCAGAAATATAGGGTATTTCTTTTCTTCTAAGTTTACCTGAGAGAACAGTGGGAGGGTTGTGTGTGTGTTTTTTAAATATACCTTTATTAAGAAACATTTTTAAGAAACAATCTTAAGAAAGATTTTTAAAAATACAAACAGAGCCCAGGATCCTGAGCTGATTCTAAATTATACAGTTTAGATAGACTGGCATGGCTTAGGGAACACTTGGCACCCAGTTCCTTTCTTTTGATTCAGTGTTTCTTAGGGAACCCTGGCCCAAAGTCTTAATTTTAGATCTTAGGTGTTTATTCCTCCCAAGTTCTCCTTGTGGTCTCCTTTCCTTCTCTGGAAAGGATTGAATGGAAACTCTTGGCAATAGCCCCTAACAATAAGACAATAGTCTGTTAAGCACCAGAGGAAAAATAAAAATCCACAACATATATCACCATATGAAAGCAACACCTCTGGCCAGATCTTTTGGGTCCCTTCACGCTCAACTGGGAGTGTTGTTCCTCTTATGAAAGAGAGGAGAAGGACTATTACCCACACTAGAACAACATTCAAATAGAAGCACAAAATCTCATATGTGACCTAGTGGACATCTAGCCCAACCCATGTAATCCCCTTCTATGTCTGCAATAAGCATTTACCCAACATCCTCTTGAAGACCTCCATGATGGAAAAATCATTACTTCCTGAAGCAAATCCATTCCACATCTGGATGTATCTAATTGTTAAGAAATTTTTGTTAAATCAAGCTCTACAGTTAGAACACTTTGCTTCAAGTTCTGATTTCCATGAGTGAACAGTTATCATAGGAACTTTTGACAGCAGTTGTTATAGTAACCCTGCCCCAAAGTCCATTGATAGGTGAATCTCTCTTTTTTGATGGAGCTGAAGGCCCTGCCTTATATGAGGGGCAGGATGGTGTGGGAGAGATAGACAGCTTCAGTTCTCAACAGTCCCCCCTTTGGGGGTGATCAAGCTTCAGGTTTTCTTTGGATGTTGTCAGCTTCTTGTTTCAAGAGAGAAGATGGAAGAGACTGACTCCATGCTGTTGAAGGAAAAATCTCTGGGAAGACATGAAAGGAGTGGGTAGTCTCTTGTTCCCTGTTTCCTTCCCTGGAGACTTTGGGGAGTTTCCCCTTGGGTGCGATCCAGGATACTGTCTTGGTTGAGTTGAATCATCTTGTTCCCCATGGGACAGCTCCTTCCCTCTGCATTGCCGGGCAGATACTATCTTATGAATACCTTCTCTTATCTCTGTTTTGCTATGATTTGGATTAATTTTTTTAAGCCATTCTCTATGTGTGTTTACTGTGGAATTGGTATTAGGTGAGGAAGTGATCAAGCCTGGGGTCCTCCTTCTCCCCAAAATAACAAAACAATCAAAAGTTAGATGGAAGCCAATCATATCCCCTAGAAGAACAATATTTAAAGGAACACTTAGATAAACCTCTAGCCCAGTAGCCCCTTTCTCTGAGGAGAACAGAGTAGTGGCCTGTGGCCCCAACCTCCTGCTTCCACTTGGAGAAGGGGACGGAAGAAGAGTCAGAGTTTACTCCACTTCCCTTCAAGCCACACAAGGACAGCCCCTCACCACACTTGGTCTTACCTACAGCACTTTCCTTACATTATATACTGCTCTTTTTTGTTTTTAAAGCCCTTCATAACCTGGTCCCTTCCTAGTTTTCCAACTTACACTTTACTCACTCCATGTACTCTGCTATTCAGTAACACTAGCCTCCTTGTTCTTCACACACAATACTCCATGTCCCATCTCCAGGCATTTTCACTCTCTGTCCCCCATACCTGGATCTCCCTCAATTTTCCTCCTCAATTTCCTTCTGCTGGCTTCCTACAAGCAGCTGGTGGTGCAATGGATAGAGCACTGAGCCTGAAGTCAGGAAGATCTGAATTCAGATCAGACCTCAGACACTTAATAGCTGTGTGATCCTGGGCAAGTCACTTACCCTCTGTTTGCCTCAGTCTCCTTAACTGTAAGATGGGGATAATAACAGCACCTACCGTCCAGGGTTGTTGTGAGGATTAAATGAGATAATACTTATAAAGCACCTAGCACAGAGCCTAGAACAAAATAGGTGCTATGCAACTGCTTATTCCCTTCCTCCACTTCCCTAAATTCCTGCAAGTTCCGGCTAAAATTCAACCTTTTACAAGAAGCCTTTCTTGTTCTTCCATAATGCTAGTGTCTTCTCTCTGATTATTTCCAGTCTTGCATACATCTTGTTTGGATGTAGTTGTTTGCATGTTGTTTCCCCATTAAATAGTGAGCTCCCTGAGATTGTTCAGTTGTTTCAGTCATGTCTGATTGTTCGTGACCCCATTAGGGATTTTCTTGGCCAAAATACTGGAGTGTTTATCCTTTTTTTTTTTTGGCAAGGCAATGGGGTGAAGTGACTTGCCCAGGGTCACACAGCTAGTAAGTGTCTAAAGTCAGATATGAATATAGGAAGATGAGTCTTCTTGACTCCAGGCCCATCACTCTATCCACTGCACCACCTGGCTGTCCTTGACAGTGGGGACAGCCATTCATGTTTCCATCACCATTTACTACCACCTCCCTTTT